GCTCCTTTAAATCGTGACTTGACATTACATTTGAATGGTATAGGTCGTCTTGAGGAAAGGAAACATCAGTGTTACAGGGAAAGATGAGATGCGAAACAAATCACTTACAGAACAAGGCCGTTGTTGATGTGATCGAATGTATCTGGTATTTGAGGACGTCCTTCATGATCTGTGACAGGAGCAACAGTAGCAGCCCATAACAGGGAGGCGATGTTGATGAAAAGTCCATTGGTAGCGACATGGCGGCCAACGCAAATTCTAGAAATATATGTCATTATAGAACAATAGCTGCCAGTGCGGTCAAGGCATACCTCCGACCAAAACCCTGAGAGTAGACACCATCAGTAAGTCTCGATTGATGGATCAGTGTATAGCAAAAGTACTCACATAGCTGACGTGGCCTAAATAATAGAGTGGAAAGGTAAGATTAATAATTCTTATGGAGACATATATGACAATGTTAACGAACCCTCTAGAGATCCGATCAGTATCATTCGTCATACAGAATGTAGTTTTATCACATACCATCATGAGTATCAGGATAGGGGCATGCAACTTGTCCGTCCTGATCGAGATGTCGCTCAGGTCGGAACTCGTCGCTGTCAGCGCCCTAAAGTAGAAATCAGCATTGAAGCAGTGTGTCAGAGTCAGTATTTGAAAAAACCTACGTAGACATCAGTATCCCGGTTCATTGCCCTGAAAGCCGTGTTCAGCATTGTGGCGTCGTACATTGACGTATTGAAACTCACCATTGATTTGCAAAACAAACGGTTCCCTTTGGAATAAAGTAACCCTCATACCAATCATCCTGGTTTGTACCGTCAGCTATGCAAGTTCACACTGAGTGTCGTCGTGTACTTACCTCAACAGTCTCATGAGGCGCACCCATCGGTGTTAGAGCTCTCCACCGCAACGCCTCACGAACACAGGCGTTGATGTAAGGGAGACTGTCACGATCAGCAAAGGTTGGCATACGGTCACGTCCAACGACAGCATCTAGTTCCTCTTGTGCCTTCTTTTGTACTTCAGGGTATGCGATCATTGCGAGAATGAACCAGGCCATGACTGTGGAGCTCTAGAAGTGGGGCTGTGTGTAAGAATGGTAGCAAAAATAGAACACGTTCAATACATACTGTTTCACTTCCAGCAGCACTGCAAAGAAATTGGGGATTAGACTTGGATCGTGTAACTAGGTAATCCAACCCACTAGATCGTAGCAGCCAACCATGAAGATTCAAGATCGCTGAGGCCAAGATGCTTATCGTCACGTATGAGGCTTGCGGCAAAACTAGTGCTCTCCTCGCCATTTCGCTAAAGAACGGTTAATCGGTCGATCTAGCTGGCGTGCAGGAAAACTTACCAAACGCCCTTTGACAGCGCCATACATCTTTCCGAGGTATTCGGAGTCCCGTTTGTACCATTCGAGTGCTTCGCGCTTCCATTTGGCCATGGAGGAGGGAATATACTACGAATAGCATTAATGACCGAATAGCCTGACTGCGAATGTGAGGTCTTACCTTCATCCAAGTGAAATACTCCACGTAGTGCGCCTTAGGGGAAGCTGCACCGACAAATCGGTTGACAAAGTTGTTGACGTAGGCAACTTGTGGATCGTGGCACGATTCTACAGTAGGTATATCATAGATTGCACCTAGAATCATGGATGCGGTTGATCTAAAGGCGAAAGTGTTAAGGCAGTGCTCATGGCCCTTTGAGATTACAAACGTACCTCTTGACCTCGTCATCCCAGTTGTTAGAGTCTTTGAGGACCCCTTGTACGAGAAGAATAGCTTCCTTTTCTTGTGCTGCATGATAATTCTTTGCCGCATTGCTGTTCAAACCCTCGTGTGCTGCTCGTCGCATCCTACGCCAACTGAAGGATGCATCAATTAGTCCATAGGGAATCACCGGATCAAGATTAATGTTGCATACAGATCTGTGTATCCTTGGAATGCTAGCAGCATGCCACCCGTGAGCATCTCAGAGGCAACTGTAAAGTTGCAATCAATACACATGTCACATATGCAGGGAGTTTCACATACCTATCAGATTGGGTCGGCTGCTGTAAATGGTTGCTCTCCGGTCTAGAAGGTCTGCTGCAACCTTGTGGGTGTTCATAATAATCATATTCTTCCCGGCGATATTTAAATGCACCAAAGGACCTGTCGAAGGGTGTTAGAGGTAATCTATATGTATATTCAGGCAATCGTACCGTATTGCTTGCCCCAGTCTGCAAACGTTTTCCAAGGTTGAGGAGTAGCCATTAGTTGAAACAGGTTTCCGAAGAAAGGAACGCCTTTAGGTCCAGGGGGTAAGATTCGTCGACTAGAAGGTTTAGTATAGACAGAGAGAAGGAAGACTGCAACTAATGCTACAAGTCCTCCGAAGACGGAGTGGAAAGCTTCTCTAATGAGGAACATAGACACTGATGGTCGCGGGTCTACCGCTGCTGAGGGTATGGTGGTATTCATCTCAGAGGATGTGTCCGTTTGTGTTTGACTGAATTGTGAGACAATCCCCATGTTCCATCCTACTATATATACGTTGTCGTTTGAACTTCATCACGGATGGGACACACCGCATTTTTTGTCATGCTTCATCTCTGCAGAGCAGAAAACATAGGTACAAGCGATCGAGCCGGGTCGACATGCCGGGTTATCTGGAATGGTCGCGGGTAGATGACCGTCAAGTTGAAAAAGCTTCCAACCCGATTCTTGATAAAATGAAAAACGGAGCAACGCGGTGTTAAAACATGAAGGCGATACTGGAGCGGAACGGTGTTCAGAAACGGAGATGAATAGATAATTGAATCATCGAGTACATCTATGACTCTGCGAGTACTCAGGCCCCAAATTGCGGTCACCCCGCTGTCTTGACTCGGTGTTAACATTCTACAATCCTTAGCGAGAGATGTCTTACTTACTTCAAAATGAGTGTTCAAAGCCAGTGTTCTGACCTGTATACGCCATGGTAGGAGTCAATCGATACAAGTATCAGGGGTCAGCTATTGTCAGATCAGATGAGACGATCAAGGCCGGATGTTCTGCATTTTCCGACGAAAACATATCAGCGGAGTTTGTACGATTTGTCTAAGAACTGTGCAGAGTGTAAACATCTCGAGTCATCGAGTCATCAAAGTGAGAGACACTACAGCTTTGGGCGCTCCATGGGGATGAGTGGGGGTCTCGCTTAAGCTATACCGTTTATCGCAACGATGCAGTTCGGCTATGAGTAAGTTTGCCGTGTACTGAACTTTCAGGAACGTACCATATCTTTTTCGTCTCTTTACTTGGCTATTCGATCCAAATACTACTATTTACTATGTCTCTATCACGATCAAGTTGACAACATAAGCATCGGGCGTTGCGCCCATAGCTACCTCGACCGTCACGTTTCACCGACTTCGTGCGGACTCACACTGCGAGCGACCAAAAATGCTATTCAGCAAGTACCCTGTGTCCATCATCTCGGATCAAGATCACAAGCACCAAGGATAGGGTTTGTTTCGATAGAGATTCACGAGCTATGAGTTGACTGACAACCATATCTGGCATGACAACCTGAGGTTGGTTTGGAATCTGGAGTATAATACACGATATCTATATTTCGGGTGATATGTTGAAGAATAAAATCATCAGCGAAGTTGACTCCTAAACCAAATTTTTCCGCCTGTGTTGGATGCTCCGCGCTGTTCGATTTCAGAGATTGCAATGAAATGGATATAACGGAGATACGTGCACAACGGTCTGGTCCCGGCCCGGGAATACAAGGTCGGCCTTCAACAGGACCTCACTGGCATTATCAAGGCATAATGGAGGTGAAACCATCCTGCTGAAACACGGGGATGGAAAGCGACGGTCATTGAAACTCCCGATCGGAATCTAGAGCCTGATAGAGCTGGTACATTTGCTCAGCACGAAGAGATCCTGGATGGCGGTGCGGCTGAGCAGTGCCCATTCCGAGTCAAACAAACGCCAAAAATTCATGGAACCGACGTCATTGAACGTCGTTAGCCAAATACGGTCATCGCCTTGCCAAAATAGGAAATGATATTTCCTGAATTGGTAATATCCTGGGTATTTGTCCTTATTCCTGCCAGTGGTGACCATTGCAACAGAGGGGACTAATAAATAGTTTCATGGAGGGGTCCGTTCACACTCAGGGTCATATGGGTGCTATGGCCTTGATGGCGTCAAGGCAGCGCTCTTTATCACGGACATCGCTCATATTGTGCGAACGGCGCGAAAAGTCATACAAATATTCTGGTGCAGTCGGATCCGGTAGTTACTTAACACCAAGTTTATTCTGTTTGAGTTGAGCAATCGGCGGACCCAAATTGAGGGTATTGGCATTAGTCATCCCTTATTTCTCAGGTATTAATATTTGGGCCTGATAGTCGTGGTCGGTACATGCGGGAGAGGTCATGGCTGTTTCAAATGAGTGTTCAGGTCTCACCTCATATATGGGATGAAGGCATCCAAGTCTTGTAAATTTATAAGATATACATATGAAAGACCTAGTCCCGATGTACTTAGTCAGTATCAAACTTGCCGAGTACATTTGAGTAAAACGCGGCTACGGGCCAGTGTGGTATCTATATAGGAGATCGTTACACGATGTGGGTTACGAGTAGATCATATTGTGACGTCGGCACGGAGTGGACGGTCGGCCTGTGCCTTGGGGCGTTTGCTAGGATTGTGTTTAGCAAAGAAACTAACCCTATGTCCGAACACCTAGTACGTGGACTCCCTCGTACTACGTATTAGAATCCTCTTGGAGCATTATCAAGTAGCCGTTCTCCCGGTGCAAGCGGAAGCACCACCGGGTATTTCTTTGACAGCACAAGAAATAAACAAGTACGCTAAGAATCTCTACTGTAGCATTTACATAGTGTATCGATTTTATGGGTGACTTGGTTCGTCTTTCTTAAATTCCAAGTACGGGCTCAGTGGTGTAAAACGGTTGAGCCCACAGGTAGCTATGGTTCATCTGATATGTATGGTCAGATGGCCGAGTGGTCTAAGGCGCCAGACTAAGGTGCATTAGCAGTTATCTGGTCCGAAAGGGCGTGGGTTCGAATCCCACTCTGATCATTTTGCTCTGTGTCCAAATATCATTCGACTTAATCAACCAGAGTACGTGCTTGACTACAACACACTCTCTTTGGCTGTGTTCTCAGTGATCTCAGATCTGTAGCGTACATTTTGGCGGTCGCTGAAAACCGCGTGTCAATACAGTGTGACATGTGACCTTTCATTGAATAGCCTTTCCGGCCACAGCCTCAAAAAGCTTCAAAACTGATACGAATATTCTGGAAGAGGGAGAAAGTAGATAAAATCCTTGATGTTCTGCTAAATAGGACAGACCTATTGTGAGACAGTTGGTATCCGGAACATGTTTGTGTGACAAAACTTTCCCGTTACTACCGCTTGCACTGTTCCAAATCGGGAAGTCACTTTTTATACCAACCACTGAGGCCTACTCCTTTTTACGCCGTTCTTGCATCTGCTCCGGCTGTCACCTCTCCTATTTTGCACACTATGACCAAGTACATTATCGTTTCCGGTGGTGTCGTCAGCGGGATTGGAAAGGGCGTTATTGGTGCGCCTTTTCGTGTCGAAATCATGTAGCTTCTTCAATGAAAAAAATTGGATCCAACCCCTGTAGCCTCTTCCACCGGGTTACTCTTGAAAAAGACCGGCCTGAAAGTCACAGCAATCAAAATTGACCCGTATATGAACATCGATGCTGGCACGATGAGACCTCAAGAGCATGGAGAGGTGTATGTTTTGAACGACGGAGGAGAGGTCGATCTCGATCTCGGAAATTATGAACGATATCTGAACGTCACCCTCTCGCGTGATAACAACATTACGACCGGAAAGATCTATAGAGAAGTGATAGAAAAGGAGGTTTGTACATTTTATATCATCTTTTGGTCCCGGTGATATATTAATATCATTCAGCGTCGTGGAGATTACTTGGGAAAGACTGTCCAAGTCAGTAGCATTCACTTTGCTATCATTCTCCACTTGACATATCTTGTAGATCGTTCCTCATGTTACGAATGCTATTCAAGATTGGATTGAACGTGTTTCCAAGATCCCCGTTGACGACACTGGCGAAGAACCAGACGTTTGTATTGTCGAAGTAAGTTGTGCATTCTGATTTGCGGAGTAACGAATTAAACGTGTATTCATTTTTAGCTCGGTGGAACTGTCGGTGATATCGAATCCGCACCATTCGTCGAAGCAATGAGGCAGTTCCAATTCAGAGTCGGCTATGAGAACTTTGCCCTCATCCATGTTTCCCTTGTCCCGGATATGCACGGAGAACAGAAGACAAAACCTACACAGACCACCGTTCATGCCCTGCGCGGCCTTGGTCTTCTTCCTGATTTGGTTCGTTCTGCTCCATCATAATTGATTTCAGTAGCTTAAACTCGCATTGTAGATCGCTTGCCGTCTGATCGTACAAAAGCCTCTTGAACCGGCAACGAAGGCGAAGATCTCCATGTTCTGTCATGTCTCGGCGGAACAAGTCGTTGGTGTTCATGATGTCTCTTCTGTTTACCATGTGCCCCTCCTTCTGCAGTCACAAGGAATTGTTCAATATTTGCAGAAGCGATTGAACCTCGGTACCATCAACCTGACTAAAGAGATGCGGGAGCGTGGTGAGAATCTGCAACAGAGGTGGAAGGAGCTTACGACTCGGTAAGGTGTTCCGACTCTTCTCCATTCCAATCTTACTGATTTGATTGTTAAGCCAAGAACGATCGTTCGATGAAGTGTCCATCGTTTTAGTTGGAAAATATACCGACTTGAAAGATTCGTATATGTCGGTTACCAAATCATTGGAACACTCCGCATTCCGTTGCCAGCGCAAACTCATCCTCAAGGTTTGATCGTCCCTCCTTTCCGTTTACACATTCCATTCTGATTTCTCTCCTATCCATCCTGTCCATCTAATGTAGTGGGTTGACGCATCCGATCTCGAACCCGAAACTCAAGTCTCAAACCCCGCAAAATACCATGACGCATGGGGCGCTGTTGTGTCAGCAGGGTACGTTTCATTTTTACCTATGACATCTTGACTCTAAACTCTCGGTCCCGCAACAGAGGTATCCTCGTTCCTGGAGGATTCGGTACACGTGGCACGGAGGGTATGATCCTCGCAATCAAATGGGCACGCGAACAAAATGTCCCCTTCCTCGGCATCTGCCTCGGTTTCCAACTCGCAGTCATCGAATGGCTCCGACACGTCTGCGGTCAGAAGAACGCCACCTCGGGCGAATTCGATCCCAACGCTCAGGATCCTGCCATCATTTTCATGCCGGAGATTTCAAAGACACACATGGGCGGAACGATGCGACTTGGGTTGAGGCCGACTGTGTTTGATGCGACCAGTGACTGGTCCAAACTGAGAAAGTTGTATAAAGGCGCGGACAAGATTTGGGAGAGACATCGTCATCGGTATGAAGTTAACCCTGCCCTGATCGAGAAGATCACGAGCGCAGGACTGCCATTCATTGGAAAGGATGAGAAAGGAGAACGTATGCAGGTTCTCGAACTGCCGGGTATGTTCCTTAGGATATCAATGATATCATTCTCACTAACCACTCGAACACGTAATCCTACAGACCATCACTACTTTGTTGGCTTACAAGCCCACCCCGAATTCTGTACCCGTCCCTTGAACCCATCTCCCCCTTTCCTTGGGTTCGTCGCTGCTGCTTGTGGCCCTGCTGTCCTTCAGGAACAGATTGAACACCAACTCAAGAACTTCGTTCCTCCTCACCCTGAGGGTTCTATGGTCAACGAGGAGCAGCTTCGTCAAGCCTCACCTGTTCCTCGTGGAAAAGAAGTCATCATGGCCGCAGACCAATAAGCCAATCCTCGATGGACATTCATCAACGACCTTTTGATCATGTTACTTTTGTAAGTTGAGCTTTGAACCCCCCACCCCCCATGTAGCCCTTGTCAAAACAGTGTAGGCCGACTCATACACCTTATACAACTTGCCTATAGTAGAGTAGAGTAGAATACTCAGTACTAGAGCGAGCGGTGATGTGTTTTGTTTTTGAAAAGTAGAATCTATAGAAATTAAAGCATGGCTGATTACATGCGCAAGTATAATACCGTTTTACCTACACAAATCATAATATACATCCACACAATCCCCTAGGACTGAACCTCGCACGGCGCGAAGAATGGGCGTGTTCACAGAGCGCTGAGAAGTGTCTGGAACACCCCTGATGATAATGAGTCGTCAACGAGTGGAACGACTCAGAGAAGTGAGTAGTGGTCTGTAGTAATCTAGATGGTGGAAGTCAATGCTGGTACGTGTGTGTTCATACCTATGACTTGAAGGACAGACTATCGTCGTGAGTGTCTGCTACCATAGTCCTCACTGTCACTCCCGTAGCGTGGTTTCCGCGAAGAAAACCCATCGCTTTTTCCTCTATCGCTCCGGAATGAACGGCGTTCTTCACCTTCACCGTTCGAGTTATCGAATCTCGAAGGACGACGGAAGGGTTTTCTTTCACCATCGCTGTCACCGTCCTCATGTCTTGACGACTTCCATGGTTTCCTATCCTCGGAATCACCACCTTCATATCTCGATGACTTCCAAGGTTTTCGGTCCTCGGAATCGCCATCCCTATCCTCCCAACGTTTCTTCGGTAAGCCGAACGAGGGACCACCACGCTCCTGCCTGGAAGAGTATTCGCCAATCTCCTTCTTGTATTCATGCTTCTCCTTATACTTGACGCCAAACTTCCTGCCATCTTCATTGTCATCATCCCTGCGCTCGCGTACACGTCCACGACCCTCCCAGAAGTTCTTTTTCGATGGCATAATATGACCTTTGCTCTTTTGGAACGAACGGTGCTCCTTGGCTCCCATACGTTCAAGGAAAGTCTCGGAAACGTAGGGCGGGGTAGGGAGACCTAAAGCTTTGACAGACCATTGTTTCATACCTTCGAGGACGACGCTACGTTGGACACGGAGATCGCCTGAACGACCGAGGTAGTAACCGATACCAGCCATGAAACATTCACGAATAGAGTCTTCCTCGAGTTCAGGAAGGAATGTCTGAACGCGCTCTTCGATGCGTTCAAGAACGGGAGTGAAAGGAACGGAAGCCTTGAGATCGTGTTCGTCAGCGAGAGCCTGCACTTGGCTCTTGAGTTCGGTGATGGTGAGTGGTTTGAGAGGGATATCAGTTAATTGCCAAGTGACAAAGCCGACTTCCCAAGGAAGGAGAACTAAATCTGTGCGACCAACGGTTTCGTTGCCACGTCCTGTACGACCAACACGGTGGACGTATTGTTCGGGAGAGCCTGGGATACCGACTTGAATGACACGAGTGACTCCGGGGTAGTCGACACCACGAGCAGAGACATCTGACGTGACGAGGACGGAAGCAGCCGACCTGTCTTTACGGAACATATCGGAAGTCTTCGTTCGCTGCTCTTGGGTACGCTTGGAGTGAATCTCATAGATCTTGGTACGATGTCCGTTAGGAAGAGTGCCGCTCGATAATTCACGCATAATTGTGGCGAAAAGTTGAGTAAGACGGGTAGTGGGAAGGAATACCATGACTTTCGAACCCTTGGGATGTGACAACTGGTCGTGTGCGAGAAGACGAAGGATATGAGGAATTTGATCCTCAGGACCGGGGAGAAGAGTGTGGTACTGAGGAATGTGAGCGTGAACCGGGGCCGCATTGTTAGCGACACAATCGATGAACTTGTGGTTCTTGTCGAGAGTGGCACGGGCTACCTGTTGGATAAGACGAGAGACAGTGGCCGAGAAAAGGAATGTTTGACGGATGGGAGCCTTAGGCAGTTGCGAGGTAATGTAATCGATGTCCTCACGGAAACCGAGCTCGAGGAGAGTATCCGCTTCATCAAGGACCAACTGCATGATAGATAAATACTTGTTACGAAAGAAAAGTGCAAAAGGCATGAACTTACATTCGTTGCTTTAGGCAGGCTGTCAGAAACATCCGGCTCGTTCTCAAGCAGATCTCTGATACGACCAGGAGTACCAACGACGATATCACGTCTACCTCTCATCCATTCTCGGAGTTG